CCCCCCAGCTGCCGCCCTGCCCTCCCCCGTTCAACCCCGCGCCTCAGATTATCAAGACATCAGCGCTGCAGCTCAGCGTCTGGCGGTCGCTCTTTTGCGCCCTGTTGCGCTCCCTGGAGCACGCCGCCGCCCTGTCGGCCGCCGCAGATGGGCGCCAAACGAGCGCCGACCAAGGCGCCGCTTTCACATGGTCGGCCCTGCTTTTGTCAAGCGTGGTGGGCGTGGCAGCAGCTACTGCAGGTGATTATCTGCTGAGGTGGCGATGGCTGCAGCTACAGCAGGACCGCACACAGCGGGACGCGCCCGCGGCCACCATGGCGGGCGCACGTGGCGTCGCGCGTGGGCCCGCGCTTGCGCCCGCGCCGGGGGGCCCGCACGCAAAGGAGGAGTGACGGGCTCGTCACGCACGGACTACGGCATGCAAGCGGCTGCAGCCGCCACCAGCACCGCAGGGCTGCAGCGATTCATGCCGCGGCTGCTTCCCGGTTTTTGACGGGGCGCGGACGCGAGCACTCGCCTCGCCGGGCGTCTGTGTGAAATGCGGCGTCCTCCCAGAGACGCTGCCACCGCGTCCTGCCGGCTGCACTGCCTTGGCCCCAGCCGATTATGTTCACCTGAGGTTACCAGGCTCACTGCATGCGGCCAGACGGGCCGATGCAGGTTTCAATTCAAAGACGGCCGTTTCAAGGGGCATCCAATCTGGTTGCCGGGCGCTCCAGTGCCCTTTGAGATGTCGCATTGCCGCGTGTCAGTCTGCACTCCATGTGCAAGCTCGCAATTTGTGCGCATTCTTTGGGCCGCATTCGCCATCCGCTGCCCGTGGCGGTGCGACGAGCAAGCGCGCGCGTAATTCAGGAGCCGCTTTCGTCCATTTGAACGCCGTGCACGGCGCCCAGTCGGGGGGCGCCAACGCTGCGTGATGCTCGACATATTTTATCTGATCTGGCAAGATCTGTGGCAGGGCTGCCTAAACCCCATCCTCTCCGACAATGCCCCCGCTGCAGTGCATTGTACGCAGTTTTTCACCGCGCCAGCCCCCGGGTAGACGAACCTGCACTGTGTTTGGCCGGCCTGCCGTGCCTGTAGTGTAGCTGCTCCAAAACCACACCCGCAATAACCTCCGTCAACTCCCTGCCTCGATGCGCTTGTCATCGGCATGGCCAGCCGTTTGCTGCCTGAAAGACGTGGGACCCTCCATCCTCCACTTGTCACCTCCCAACGCCCTCCACTTCATACCGCTCCTCTTGAGCCCGGCTTGGTTGGCGCCAGTCGGCACGCGACTTACACGCCTACGCCCTGCCTCACTGGCCATGCCCTGCCTTCACGCCGTGCGCGTGCACGTCACGCCCCGGCCCAACCAATGATTTGTGCAATCATCTGTTGGTGTGCAGATAGAGTGCCCCCTCGTCCCCACTTCCAGACATACACGGGTTGCCCGCTTTGGAATTGACACAATTTGACGCTTTGAGGGGATTTGTTTGGCCAGCCCAACAGTGGAGCGTCGTCGCCAGCTTCCTGGCAATTTCCTGCCCCACTGGCCGCACGGACGCATCGTTTTTGCACGCTTTGGGTTTGCTCGCAGGTTTCATAGTTTTCGCCCCACCATGGATGGCTGCGGTGTTTGCAATCCAGAACAGAAAGTCTGGCCGTTGTTACCAAGAGACACTCTCGCCGTTGTGGACTGTTGATGCCACCTCCCCTTCTGGAGCCGCCTGTTAAGCATTACCACCAACACAGCATATGTGTAATACCATGATGTATATGCACGCGTGCGTCCCGGGCTCGCGCCTGTTGTGATTGGGAAGAACTTAGTGGCAGGTCCTTTCCAGCTCGCAGCAGTCTCATGTGCAGCCCTGTTGGCCCGCCCAGGGTCCTAGCTAGGTTTGAGGGCCCAAGCCCACCTAGGTGGGTACTGCTGCGGATGCAGCTTCTGGGCCCCTTTACCGTACTGCGGGGTCATTGCCGATGATGCCAGTGGCTGAATCCTGGCTGTCCCTCTGTGCGACAAAAGCTGGGTAGCCCCCGGGTCGTGAGCCTGCAGGGAGGTTCAGTGACGCTACGGGATGCTGCACTGAGACTCACCAGCAACGCTGTGCTTGTGATTGCCACCGACATCAGTAATTACAACTTGTAGCGATTCTAGTGTGCTGGGGCGGTGATTGCTGCTCCTCCAAGAGTCAGCAAGGGCCGCATAATCAAGGATTTGCAAGGGGGGAGCCATATAAGATGTATGATTTGAACCAATGTGCAAAGTAAGGTCTGTTGTGATGAACACAGGAACATCTAGGAAAGCGAGGCAAGTACGGCTTTGGCCACATGTAAGGGAATATAAGTCATGAGCTGCAAATGAATGGAATTTTTGCACACTGTGCCGGAGGGCCGCCCCGGGAGCAAGCGGCGTTTGCAAAGCAGATGCAGGGAAAACCATTTCTGGCGGGGCGATGGGAAGGGGGGGAGCCTCTGATGTTGCCAGCCGGGCTGACGATGCCCTGAGAATGGACCCAGGGCGTGTGTGCGGTTCCACGCACCAAGCAATGTATGGAGGCGAATGGGAGCAGGCGCGCGTAACGCGCGCGAGGGACAGGTGGACGTTGGTGCATGCAAGGAGTGTGCCGATGCTCAGAGCCTGTGGCTCGCAAGAAGAGATGATGATTGGAAACATGACGGCGCCAACGCGCTCAAGCCAATGGTGTTGCTTTGCCAACCTGATGAACAACCACATGTGCTAGGTGACACAACAGTGTGTCAGGAGCACGCGTGCATTGAAAGCCCTGCCCTTTCAATAGGCGTATCTTGAAATAGCTGCGGGTGCGACACGCCAAGCAATGAAAGGATGCGAGGCAAAAGCCGTATCAGGCCCACACCCCCGGTCGACCAGCGCAAACGCTGCAGTGGTGCGCACCATGCCGTCCCAGCCAAACCCAATGCCCCACGGAACCAAAAGGGAAGATTTTTCTTCGCGCTTTGCTGCAGGCCGCGCTGCGAAGAAAGACTGGCGGCGCCGGCCCTTCCGACATCCTCCAAAGAAAGCCTGGCCCCGCCGCTCTCGGGTGGGTGCGTCAAGCCTGGCAGCGGCTCGCCGCTCATCACGCCACTCAGTGCGACAGCAGCCTCCTGGCGCTGTAGGGGCAGGCCATGGCCAGGTACTTCGGGTCGCACTCCAGGCGGAAGGTGTTGAGGGAAGTGTACTGCGCGGATTGTGGAGAGCAGCAGGCCCGGGGTTGCGGGGTCGTGTGGGCATAGTAGGCGCCAGGCGTGCTGCTTACCCATGGCGCTGGCGCAGAAGCGCGCAATAAACGCGGCACAGTCATTAGACTTTGGATTGCTGCGAATCTTGTCAAGAGAGTTGTCAATTGGCAGCAGGACTTCACGTGAACATGATTCCCTTGCTTTCGGGGCCGATCGGGCCGCGCAGAGGCCAGGTGCTGCGGCAACACCACTAACCTTGTAGATTGACTTGACGCCCCAGGTGGACTGGCACTTGCACACGGTCTGGAAGAAAGTCGTGCCCTTGTTGCTGGTGCCATACTCCACTTGCCACACGGGCATGTTGGCTGCCCAGGCCAAAGCAGGGTGCGGTGTGGAGGGCGGTCGTCAAGAGGGGCAGTGCGGCGGTGGCAGCCCGCTTTGCCTGCCATGCCCTGGCAGATACCTCCCCATTGGAGTTTGTTGAGCCGAAAACACAAGGTGCTCTGCAAGCACGAGATTCCCGGCGGGTCCTGCAGCCCGCCAGACAACCGCCCACAAACAGTCATAGCTGGTCAAACGTGGCCCGAGCTCACCCAGCCTGGCAGGCTTGTACAAGTTGCACTCAGAGTACTTCATGCACTCCCTGCAGCGGGCGAGATGGTGAGGCAGTTGCGCGAGCTGGTGTTAGCCTCCACCCACTGCCGCGCCACCATACGGGAACGCTGAGAGTTGCGGGCAATACACCAGTCGAGCCATTGTCAGCATCGCCACCGCGCGACGGTCGCCCACCACTAAGCAATCCGACAGCGACTCACTCGTTGACAAAGAAATCAAAGGAGGGCAGCAGGTCGCCGATCTGGTTAAGATCGTTCATGAGGCCAACAGAAAGACCCAGGCTGTGCGCCGCGTTGGCCAGGAATGTGTTGTAGCTGATCTGGTCGGCCGCAGTGAGGCCCATGCCGTTGGCATTGCTGTAAGCGTCAAGGCCGTCGGGCACCACCGCCACAAAGCCCTTTGCCCTGCACAGCTCCAGGCGCTGACGAGGATGGTGAAGCAGGTTGGTGAGTTCAGGAGATTTTGGTGAGCTCATGATAAGCAGGCCCATATGAAGACGAATTCAAGCATTCATCCTGTTAATTCGATGCTGCGCAGCATCACCATACACTGCATGCACAGCAGCCAATCCTTCTGCTTGCCGTATTGCTCTCCCTCACCTTTTGCATAATGGACCGCACGTTTAGTGAGCGGATGTCCAGCCACACTGACGCCGGGTGGTCGGCGGCGGTGAACAGAGCAGAGTCCGGCTGCCAGTTCTCATAGGTGCCGGCGTTAAAGCGGCACACCGAGAATCCCCCCTTGGCTGCGATGCCGGCCGTCGTCGAGGCGCTGTTGAGGAAGAGGTCGATCATATACACGCTGGCGGTTGCCACCCACATTGTGGCAGGAATGAACTCTGCTGACGTCATGTACTGCCACCCCAGGTTGTCGGAGGCCTTGGGCCGCCACCAGGTCGGGCTGGGGCTTGGTGAAGGGCTTGGCGAGGGGCTCGGGCTCGGGGTGGGAGAGGGAGAGGGACTCGGCGTCGGTGACGGGCTCGGCGTCGGTGACGGGCTCGGTGTCGGCAAGGGGCTCGGTGAAGGGGAGGGGCTCGGTGAAGGCGAGGGGCTCGGTGAAGGGGAGGGGCTCAGTGAAGGGGAGGGGCTCGG